TGGGGGGATGGGTTGGCCTGGTGATGGGTATTAAAGAGGGCATGTTCTGCCTGGAGCACTGGGTGTTATACACAAACAATGAATCATGGAACACTACATCAAAAACTAATGATGTAATGTATGGTGATTAACATAACAAAATTAAAAATGTTAAAAAAATAAAGTGGCTTTATATGTCAAAAAAAAAGAGGTAGAGGTGATTAAGAGTACACTTATTGTGATGAGCACTGAGTAATGTACAGAAATGCTGAATCATTACATTGTACATCTGAAACTAATATAACGCTCTATGTTCATTATACTTCAATTTAAATTTAAATATAAATAAATAACAAAACTGGGGGGATTAATAAAGTGGATTTAAGTTAAAAATAGCCAACTCAGAATCAACCCATTCCCATCCACCCAAACATAGAGAGATTTTGATATCCTTGCCTAGAATGGTGAAGAAAGCCAATGAGACTTTTCTAACTTCTACTTCACATTAAAACCTAAAATACCAGTCAGAATGAACTTAGAAGCCATCGTGGAATCTTTTTGATGGATTTTTAAAATCATCATTATTTTCACCCAAACGAATTTCCAAAGTAATTCATATAAATCAAATGTAAAAATTTAAAGTGTAAACCTGTAGCTGAATATAATTATCCATAGGACAACTGAATTGAAACCAAATCATATGTGACATAAATAGCTCCAAATGAACTGGCAATCAGGGGAACTGTATCCACAGAAAAAATTAGCTGTCCAAACTCAGGCAAAGTGGTTCTCTTCGCTGCGTTTTAGTTGAGGAAATTAAGACTTTGGCAGACTTCACCAAGGACCTCAAATACACTGTTTCCTCTGACCTTAGCAGCCCCTGGGAGAGAGAGAGAAGTCTAATTGCTGAAGGAATCAACATCCTAAGAGGTCATAACCGGACACAGCAGAGCCTGGGGGAAGCTGGTCTTGGAGTCCTAACATAGGGCTCTTTCCTCCTGTGTGCTAGTGATCTCATTCTATTCTCTCCAACAGAGAGGAGTTGAACCATATAGACCACAAAAGAAGCGCTGGGAAGACACAGTCATAAAAAAACAGTTTTTCTTTTTGAGAAGCTCATAACCTCTTCTGGAGTTTAACTGTTCAATGATCCCACGAGAGTGAAAAATCTTTGGCAATCTTGCCCAACACAGGATTTACAGAGAGATTTCTCTCAAATAGGGAAAATAGAATCATGCAGAAGAAATAGCTTCTGACTTCTAAGACTGTTTTTTCTTTAGCAAATAATTGTTCGTGTCTTCCTTTCCCCATTTTTTGATTACCTACTATATACAGGCACTGAGCTCTATTCTCCACATGTATATTTTTATTTATTTCTCACAAAAACCCTACAGAGCATTTTCTACTATTATTCTGATTTTATAGGTAAATAGCGACTTAAAGAAGTGACAGAAGACTCATA